TATACATATACATATACATATACATATACATATACATACACACACACACACACACTTCACATGTCACATTTGGATATATATTACTACCACAGTCACACACACAACTTTTTAATATATCTATGCCATGGGTGTCACATTGTTCAATGCTGGTTACATGTGGTGAATATATACTACTGATCCCAAAGACGACACAAGGATTGAGACTAATGATGTTGTATGAAATATGTAACATGATCACAAAGATGAAACAAGATTTAAAGTAAAGAAGTTAAAGAGAGTTAAAAAGAGGAAACGATATTTTATTATGACGATAATGTGAAGAGAAAATTACAATACAACAATTTTGGTTTGAACTAAATTGAAAGAAGAGACTACTATTTGTAAGTACATACCATACCATAAAGATGAAAATAATATAGAATAAGGAAATAATATATTTTTAATAAAATCAAGTGAAAATAAGGAAACGATTTTTTTCACGTGAAAATAAGGAAACAATTTTCTTTTTTCTAATTTGAGTCATTAACCTAAAATATACGTCACATTCAAGGGCGAACCCATAATTGCCCCCACTAGATTTACAGTCACTGTCGAGAGCATTGCAGTCAAGGAGGAAGCTTGAAGGTAACTGCATGCAGGTGGAAATTGGAAGATGAAGATGACAGTAAATGGATTAGACCTTTTTTTTTTTATTTTGGGCCATTTCTTTTGTGTTGGGCCTCTTGTTTTTCTTAAAAAAAAAATAAAATTAGGCTTGATCCACTAAAATATGCTGGCTACTTGGTTGGTTTAAATGTTGTGGAAATTACAGATTCTAATAGATTAAAAATTCCTATTTCATAAATGAGATATCATGTTAATATTTTACAAATCAGAAATTTTTTTATTTAATTAATATATTTGAAAATTAATTAAGTAAAACAATTTCAAACCCTAATTATATCAATCTCAATTCCCCCCCCCCCTCTATTCACTGGAAGTTCGACTCTCTCTCTCTATTATCGCCCCTCTCTCTGCCAGAAACTACTGTGCATTCTAGAGAGAGAAAGTGATGGGTAAGCAGCTGGTGAGAATGAAGGCAGTGGTTTACGCCTTGTTTCCATTCCAGCAAAAGGTGATGTCGGGCCTCTGGAAAGATTTGCCTGGTAAGATCCACCACAAGATCTCTGAAAATTGGATCAGTGCTATCCTTCTCCTTGGCCCTCTCATCAGAACATACTCCTATGTGTAGTGGTATCAGGAAAAGGAGAAGATGGAGCACAGATTCTGAAAATTCTATGTTTTATCTGCTTTTACTGGCCATGATTTTGCATGCAGCTGCTGTTATTAAACTCT